CTCTGCTTTTTCTGAGCGGGCAAGCCCGCGTGATCTCACTGCAATTACTGAATGCTTTAAATTGGAGGGGGAGGGGAATGCAGACACGGTTGGGATGGTCAGCAGGCCTGATCAACGGGGGATAGTTCAAGCAGCTTGCGGCTGCACAGCTAAAAAGGCGCACAATGAGCTGTAACTGAACAAAGTATCAAAGTAAGTACAGGCAAATTATGATACTTCCACATCTTAAAATCTGTATACAGTGCCAAACTTGTTTTTCACAACATCACCAACGGACATCTGATTGTACAGTTTCAGCGGTACCATCCTCTTGAACATTGCAATCCAAAGGACGAACACGACCGTTGCAACAAGCAGCTCTGCCATCCAAGCTCCGCGAGGACCATCCGTTGTAAATAAGCGGCTGAATTGAGGGCCACCCGTTCAGAATTAGCTAGCTGGTCAATTGGCTCGTTAAATTATAAGCTGAGAAACAACTGAACAAGCAGTGTCGCAAGGCTAAATCACTGAGGTTACACCCTCTCGCGATGACCCCTCAGGCAAAACGGACGGGCGTGCCCATGCATTAAGAAGGAAATGGCTGTACTTCATTGTGACAATTTTTTGACAATTCGCCTAACGCGTACGCAAGGTGCCAACGATTATGCAGCTGGCTTTCTTCGCTTGGGAGTTGGTATATTTTTGAAGGTGGGTGCGAAGTCAGGGAACGACGGGCTTGAAAAGCAGATTCCAGGCCACCCTTATCTGCCCATTCAACAAACTAAAGCTGTAAATTATCTGTTTGTTCCGTTATGTATTTAATATGTCAACCTGTTGGTTTAAGCTATGAATTGTTCACAGTACAACTAAGTTTAAAAACAGATTTCAGCTTATTCGACTCGCATTTTTGGCGAGCGAGTTTGAAAATCAAAATTTCAAGTTGGCTTTTTCTCCCAATTTCAAATTTCAATCATTGCCGAGGGTTCGATTTGGTGTTTTCTCCAAAATTGTAGTGATAACTGTGGAAAGTGACTTACGTAATAACAATTGGGCCGATCAGTCGAGCAGTACTGCCGAAAAACATCAAAATTCCCTGCATGCTTCCCTAAATAATTTTAATTTAAGATCGAGCAAAAATCAAC